TAAATTTTTGGCCTTTTCGTTTTTTTTCTGAAAAGCAGTAGTTTTCGAGATAAATCAGTTTTGCCAAAATGGTTGTGCTACTAGAAAGTGTAGAAATGCATTTATTTAAAAAAACGAAAAAGTTAAAACTTTTCCACTTAAAAGCTTTATATAATTTAATACATTCACCAAAAGAATTTCATTTTATCTAACTTATATTCAAAGTGCATGGTCTGTTATAGAAATGATGAGTCATCAGCGTCAGTTCACATATTAATTCTCGAATTATAGAAACATAGCTTATCGACAAGGCCGACGTGGGAAACTTCCAAGATGCCCCCCTTCCAATTCCAATAACTTGTACATGGATCGATAGATCTCAATGAGATAGTAAATATCTTAAAAGGATTCGGGCCCATGACTTACAGACCCGAAAAAACAGGTTTTTCGAAACTCGGAAAATTAACCAAAACTTTTCTTAACGAGACACGATTGTAGCCTGCAAATTTCTGATTAAAATGAGACGTCTACCAGCTCTACACGACCTTTCTTTGCAAAGTTATAGAATTTAGCTGACAATGAACATTTCGGGCTTTTTTTGTAAATTTTATAACTTTGCAAAGAAAGGTAATGTAGAGTTGGGAGATGTCTCATTTTAATCAGATATTTGCGGCCTACAATGGTGCCTCATTAAGAAAGGTTTTGGTTAATTTTTAGAGTTTCTGAAAAAGTGGTTTTTAGGTCTTCAAGAGTCATGGGCCAGAATCCTTTCAAGGTATATACTACCTCACTGAGGTCTATCGATCCATGTACAGGTCATTGGAATCGAAAGGGGACATCTCGGAAGATTCCCTCGTGGGCCTTGTGGCAATGTTCGTTTTTCAGAAAAAGCCCCAACACCTAATGAAAACCTATATTAGATGAAATAAACCGGTTTGAATATTTACATTAAAAATTTGTTAACATTCTACTTCAAAATACTTTGTTTTGTACTCTTACTTCCAACGATTTCTAGAAAAACATTTTAAAAACCAAAATATTCTATCTTGATTTAAAGAAGTTTACTAAACTCCATGATATAGCGCAGGTAAACAGAATATATCTTGAACTTCTGAAGTAGTCTGAATCGTTTTTGACTGAATTAAGAATTTTTTAATTTTATGTAAAAATAGTTCAAAATGAAGTATTTCATCTAATATAAATTTTCACTAGATTTTGGAGGTTTTTTCGAAAGATTATTCTTTCAACTAAACAACAATTGATCGTATTTTTTACACACCTTTGAATGTTACTCGCAAAATTTGCTTTTTTATTATTTGAGATTATTTTTTCCAAACGACCCCAAAATCCTACTTATAGGACTGCTGTTTAGAATAAAGTTAACATTAAGACACACATATGGCTAAAATTTATTGTAAAAGGTGAAAGATCAAGATGCTACTGTTAACTACTATAAGCAAAAGTTTATTGATAAATGAAAGTGTCATTATCTACCAGAGCCATTACGAATCTGTATTAGATAATCATCAAAACTTCCATCGTGCCACGCATATGGCCAACTCAATTCGGATCCAAAATTTGATCCCATTGGAGCATAAACACCATCACGTATCGGTTTCGACCAGTTTTCACCATAGTCAGCAATTATATAGTCAAAAGCATTACATGGTACATTTATTTTGAATCCCAGATAGTCTGTAGCACACAAGTTATCAATAAGTGGATAAGCAAAAGCGTAATAAGACTTATCATAGTGTAAGTAAGTAATCAACTTGTTTGTTTCAATATTATCGTACAAGAAAAATAAATCAATGGACATTTTTGTTAAAAAACGGTTTTCAAAAGCATGTTCTGGAAATCCAAAAATATGTATGAGAGGTATAGCGAGTTCTAAACTTTTATTACCCAATCGTTCCGTTGTTTCATTGGATGCAAACTGGGAAAATGTTGCAAAATCAACATCAGTCGTATAGGGAATTAATGAACATTGACGATACCAGCCGAGTAGTGTACCACTATAAATGAAAAATGGAATATGAAAATGTTTTAGTAATACTTTGAATTTTATAATGATTTCTTGATATGTTTTGATTTGTTCCATTGTTGTTCTTGTACTATTCGGATATTGTTTTCTGAATAAACGTGCGGATGTTCGATTACAATTAATTAAACGAGATGAATTTATTTGAGTTAAAAAATGAACTAAATCCATCTGTTGATGTGGTATGAAAACGGTTGTATCTTCAAAAATAATCTTTGATAAATTGAAGGAATCATAAATGGCATTATATTGACCAAAATAGAATTTGTAAGGTAAATGATATTTATCTGGTATTTGATATAGTCGATAATAATGATTGTAATAATTATAAAAGACAACAATTTGAATGACAAGTTGCTTGCTTTCGCATAATATATGAAGTAATTTATCTTGTGAATTTCGTATAAGAAGAATGCGTTCGAATGTACATGCTCGATCTGACCAAGATAATATTTTCTATAATAAACGATAGAATAGTTTAAGTACTATTATCCGTTCCAGAAGTCAAGGCACTCGGTTGTTTTTTGAATAACTTTTGATACGAACAAGATGAAGACCTGCGATTTTTGCCATTCGAAAGAAGAGACTTGGATGCATGTTTTCATAGCCAACATAAGTTTCAGACGAGTTTTTTGAAAGAGGTTTTCTAGGAGATCTTTGGAAAACTACGTGGTCTGTAAAGATTTTCCAATACGATTTTATTGCTTTTTTCTTATGAACTGATAGCTCAGGGTGTCCTCTTGAAAATGGGAGTAAAGTGAGACCTTGATTTTTCACGGTTCGGGCGTTGTATCGAATTTTCTACAAGTCCAAGGACTGGTACCCGGTGACTATTGGTAGCCTTAAAAAGTGTTGACTATTCTTAAAAGTGGTTTATGGTTTTCTGTTGATGTGGTAATCGACCATGCTGAGTTTTGTGGAAATATTTATTTTTAGAAAAAGTTTTAAAAATCTACTGAAAAGCCAGTTTTACGAAAATTAGAATTTTCAGGCTGTTTTCACTTAATATTAAAAAATTCACTATTCACTTAAAAAACATCCGACCAAGCTCAAAGCTTCAGAATGTAGAAAACTTAAGCTATTCTATATCCTGTTCAATAATAGTGAATTAGTGAATAGTGAATATTTTAATATTAGGTGAAAATAGCCTGGAAACCCTAATTTTCGTAAAACTGGCTTTTCGGTAGATTTTTAAAACTTTTTCTAAAAATAAATATTTCCACAAAACTCAGCATGGTCGATTACCCGTAATCTATCAGTTTTCAAGACTACCAATAGTCACCGGGTGCCAGTCCTTGGACTTGTAGAAAATTCGATACAACGCCCGAACCGTGGAAAATAATTAATTAATTAATTAATTAAAAATTATTTTAATCTGTTCATATTTAATTCATATATGAACAGACACTCACCAACACGAAAACAGGGGTTTCGTAACGACAGGAATGCACAAGGCACTCACTCAACGATAGTAATATCTCTACTCTCTCTCTCTAGTAGTCTGACTGTCGAACTTACGAGGGAACCTCCCGGGATGCCCCTTTTCGATTCTAATGACTTGTACATGGATCGATAGATCTCAGTAAGGCAGTAAACACCCTAAAAGGATCCTGGCCCATAACTCTTGAAGACCCGAAAACCACTTTTTCAGAAACTCTAAAAGTTAACCAAAACCTTTCTTAATGCGGCATGATTGTAGCGCGCATATTTCTGAATAAAATGGACATCTCCCAGCTCTGCATGATCTTTCTTTGCAAAGTTATACAATTCACACAAAAAGCCCTGAATTAATTTCTTCTTATTTCTGTAGCTTTGAGCTGACAATGAACATTTAGAGCTTTTCTTGTAAATTCTATAACTTTGCAAAGAAAGGTCGTGTAGAGCTCGGAGATGTCTCATTTTAATCAGATATTTGCCGGCTACAATCATGCCTCATTAAGAAAGGTTTTGGTTAATTTTTAGAGTTTCTGAAAAAGTGGTTTCACGTCTTCAAGACCCATGGGTTAGAATCCTTTCAGGGTATTTACTGCCTCACTGAGATCTATCGATTCATGTACAAGTCGTTAGAATCGAAAAGAGGCATCTGGGGATGTTCCCTCGTTAGTTGGAGGAGTTGTTATCATTCTCTGTTTCTCTCTTTTAACTTTCTTCTGTTCTGGCGGAATCTTTTTTTTTTTTTCTATATATCATTCTATATATCATGTTCTCCGTCTTCGCCGTGCATATAAAATTCTTAGTCTTCTCTCATAGCGCGTGGAAATGAAAGAAAGACGAGAAAAAGCATTAGATACATTTAGTCAGTCGTACTGTTTTCATAATTGTTGGTTTTAATTTTTTACTAAAACTTTTATTAAAATTCTTAACAAGTCAGATGTAACTATTCTTAAACGCCTATTTTTAATCTTACCGATTAATTGTATAGTCAGGGGCACATAAGTGAATCTGTACATTCTGTTCCTTGTCATCGGAAACATACAAAAACAAATTCTTCCAACTATCGGATGCGTATGAGCTAGAAATCTAAAGTTCACGCAGAATGTATGAAAAAGGTCCAAACTCATTTCCGTAAAAGTCTTCTATGAACGTCTTCGATAGTATTATTTTACACACCATTCAATGGAGCTTGACAAAACAGAAACTTCTTCAAGTGTAGAATCTAATGTTTCAATAAACAGTAGAAGATATTTGATCTGGGAGGGGACGAACGGATTGTTGGACAATTAAAAAATGCAAAATCATTAGCGGATTCATATATGTTAGGTAAACTGAAATTCATTGGATGAATCTATTAAATTAAATTTTTGGCCTTTTCGTTTTTTTTCTGAAAAGCAGTAGTTTTTGAGATAAATCAGTTATGCCGAAATGTTAGAAAGTGTAGAAGTGTATTTATTTCGAAAACAGCTGCTTTCTAGGAAAAGAACCGAAAAAGTCAAAAATTTTGCACTTAAAAGCTTTATATAATTTAATACATTCACTAAAAGAATTTTATTTTATCTAACTTATATCGGAGCTTAAGCTTAAGCTTATTTATTATATCTAAACTTTCAGTCGGAGTTAGACGTGAAAATTCTTCATCACAAGATCGAATAACCTATCTCATATGACGCACAATAGAGGAAAACGTGTCTTGCGTA